GGCAACAAAATATCCAAATAAAGAAACTAGAACAAAAAATGTGTGGTTGTTGTTTATAAGTATATAAATAACAGCAGACTGTGCAGCAGATTACACCGCGGCATCAACAGTCACTTAAAACTGAAGTAAAAAGTACTCTGAAAATCACAGCCCCTTCATCTTTAACCAGCTCATTGTTCTCCTTTCTCCCTCAGATGGTGAGCTGAATTCATGCACATGTTATACGTGTGCACTCGGTTTGGGTGGCTGCTCCAGATTCTGGTGCCTGTAACTGCACAGAACTCATTTAGCCTCATTTACCACACAGTGCGCAGACAGACGGGGAGGCACTTCTTCTGCTGCTCGTGTAACTCTGTTCTCTTATCAGCTGTAGTTACAGGGCAGCTGTTTACAAGTGCAGCCCTGTGACCTGTTCAGGAACATTTTTAACCGCAGCTTCTATCTTTAGTGTAAAACACTTTAAACCCTTATTCTTGATTTTGCTGATTTGTGATTGACGGCAAATCTTCACATTCTAGTCAGATTAGTGATATAAACATTCATGTGGCTCAATTTATGAAACCCAGCACATAAAGTAACAGTTTACATAAAGTTCCCCATGGCAACGAGATGAAGAGACGAGCAGATGATGCTTTTCTGTTATTGTGCCAGCTCGCTCTCTCATTTGTGTTCACTTTGTGTCCTTCCCCGTGACGCATGTACAACAGCAAATAACATGGCTCCTGACTCGCAGAGTGAAGCGAGGGCTCCGGGGTGGAAAGTAATGGGATTATTAGTTGCGTCATGGATGGACTTTTTAAAACATCGACAGTTTGTACAAGTGGGGGAAAACAAGTGTTTACAGAGAGCTTGTGTGTGTGTTTTCTGTTCAGATGGCAGCATCCCCTCCAGTGCTGTATCCAGTGCGGGCCCCTCATCCCCGATTACAGAGTCTTCTGGTCTGAACTTCAGCTTCAGTGAGTAGGTCGTCTGTTTGGAGAACCACAAGGACCTCTGGGAATCGGAGGCCATGGTGTAACGACGTCACTTCCTGCGCTGTTATTCAGCCTTCTGCTCATATTCACGATGTCAGACGCGATATGATCAAACAAACTGTGCACAGCGATTCTCCTGCTGCACCACCACTGACTGCACTATCCTCACCACGCCTGCTCTTCTCCATAAAGAGGAAATAAAGAAAAATACGTGGGACCTCTCATCGCCTCGATCCACCTCCTCAGATCGCTCACACTTTCCTGAACCGTCCATTGTGCCAACATTCAGACCATTTGTGCCTTTAGTTTAATTTGGATCAGAGCAGTGCTTGCTATTTGCTCTGGAGATGGGTTTTTCCCCTCACACATCAGCAGTCTGTTTTTCTCACCTGAACTGCCGACATTTCTGGTTCAAATGCGTCACGGACTTTAAGTCTGTGGTGGATTTCATCCAAAGATCAGCACGCCTGCTTTCTAACCAAGAATTACATTATCAATACTGCTCTCATATCTAGCTGTTAGCTCAGCTTGGCAAATAGACTGGGAATGGGGAAACAGCCTGTTTTAAAGATGGCAGAACAGTAGTAGTCTTTTCTTTTTATAAATTCTATGTTTTATCTTTTTTCTTTTTTTAATAATAAGTAAATTGAACATTAAGTGTTAGTTTTTCAAGCAGTTTTACCTTAGACAAGGCCACTGTTAGCTGTTTCCATCCCTTAAAAAGGCTGAACTACCTGCTGGATTTGAGAGTTAATCATGTTATTTAAGGCTTCAGACTGAAAACCATCATGTAAAGCTTGTAACACTGTAACCAAAGCAACCACAGCCCAAATACTCTCTAATGTAACATACAAAGCATCTGCAGAGATGCAAGTTTGCAGTGTGCCTGATAAATTATTGCTCACATGATTTGTTTTACTTCATGCATTAAACAAAAAAGAGTAGTATATTTTATAATTTTTCACTCATGCCAGCCTGATCAAGCTGTTTAGCTCTGTGTTCTTCAGCTGTTAAGTAGGAACAAAGACGCATCTGTAAATGTGCCTTCAGATAATAATGTGATATTAAATCCAAATGTTAGGAACCTGCTGTATTCTTTTACTGAGATGTTTTAGAGTTACAGGGATAAGCCACTTGATTAAGTCAGTAGTATAGTTGTGTCTGCAGTCTGTCACCATATATTGAGATGTGTTTTTAATGTCAAATGACTGTTTCTCATCTCATTAATCATGCTCAGGTAAAGCAGTATAATCCAAAGGTTGCAACTGGTTCATCAGTTTGTGACTGAACTGTTGGACGGTCAGTTCACTTTCAATTCAGAAAATAATTACAGTTAATTGAAATTCCAAAATATATGTTATTACTTTGACAAAAGCCTGTAAACAAAATGAAAAGCTGAATCTGATTGTGGGCATTGTGTTCAGTCGGCATTGTCAGCTTTAACAAAGTATAAACAGCAGCGAGGGGGGGAGTCCCTCTTTTCATTACAAAGCGGTTCAATTGAAAAAAAACTGGCCTTCAAAACTTGAAACGTCTGCTGTTGAATGAATTTCTGAATTTTAGCCATCTTGTAAAAGAGTTCTAGATTTTTGATTTTTGAAGGCTAATAACCTGTTTTTATCGTAATTGTGAGTTGATGTTGGTGTAGTTGTGTATTTATGTGGTTATTTAATGTCAGCCAAAGAGAGGTGCGTGTGTGTGTGCGCGCTCTGTTTAACGAGGTTTAAAGGTGTAAGATGTCTGTGATGCCCTGTCTTCTGTGGTTCAGGTCAGGCTGTGACATCGGGGAAAGGAGAGGGGCAATAATAAAAAGAGAAAATAAAGACTGAAAGTGTTGTTTAGTGTGTTATCAAGCACAACAAATCATGTTGTCACACCTGCTGCAATAGATGGTGTGAGAGTGATGTTTTATTGAGCACAGTCCAGACACAAGTCTGTTAGTGCTGCATAAACAAACTGGCCAACCTCCTGTGCTCATCTGTCTCTGCTCTTCTTCAGTCTCTTTCTCTCCCTCCTATGTCTCATTTTGTCCTTTTATCCATTTCAAGACTCATATTTTTTTCCCAGTCTATTGTCCAGTTTTGTCTTTTCTTGCAATATCAGAGCTTCAACCGCTTGTGTTGACCATGGCTGCATGCTAAGTGGATTGAGTCGATGCCATGTGATCAGGTGATTAGCTATTTGCATTAACAGTTAAGCATTTGAACAAATGAAGTGGCCAGTGACT